GCTTGTGAAAGGTACAGGTTCTCCACCAAGAGACAGTAGTGGTAATGGTGGAGTGTTTCTGCTAAAGCAGATCAACAGAGACTGGCTTTTCTTGCCGTTCAGCAACATGTCATTACACTCTGCCCAAGAGTCAAGCTGTTGCGCTTCCTCTCTCATACTGTTGTCGGCGTCACCCTTCCCCAGGGGAATTAACCTGGACAAACCCACATCGTCCGCGTAGCCGACATCAAGGGTGTCACTGTGGACTGTGTCTCGAGAACCCATGAACAGGAGGAAAAGGTATGGCGATAGTACTCCTCCCTGTGGTACACCCGAGGTAAGTACCCTCCACTCGCTGACTTTGCCGTTGGCAACAACTCTCTGAGTGCGACCTTGCAGATAGTTCTGTATCCAGGATACCATGCGTGGGTTGGTCACCACATCGTTCACACGTTGTAGGAGAATTGCATGGTTCACTCTATCAAATGCTTTGCTCATATCTGCGAACAAAGCATGGACTGCTGCATGACGCCTTGAGTCTAAAGCTGTCAGCCAAGTGTGAACCATCCTGACGGCGGCTAAAACAGTGGAGGAACCCTTCAGGTAAGCGTACTGATTTCTGATGGCAGGTGAAATAGAAGGGAGAAGTCTTTTGAGTTGAGGGAGAATTGATCATAATAATCATTCTATAATCAACGACAGCCTTACGTCGATGAAGGTTAGACATCCAGGTAATACGATACGCCAAAAAGCAGTTACTCAAGCAGCTGGATATGATTTTGGAAATGAAATTACAGCGACTTGCCATTGCCATTAGAATTACAGCGACTTGCCATTAATCATGTAAGTTAGGCCTTGATTTACATAACGTTAACTATATATTCTGATGTAACGTTCCCAATTATATATGTCACAAGTGTTCCCTAGGCCTATTATGGAATACAGCAGATTTATAGAAATATCTCATTAATTATCTAAATTAGCCTCAGATTTGCATAATTATGATCTGATTGTGTCAAGCATCACTTAAGCTACCTACGTATTGAAAATCATGGCAAT